AAAACCCAACCCCGATGGCAAACACCGGGGGGGAGCGGGGGGGCGGGGGGGCGGGGGGCACAGATGTGAAGGTAGGCAGGCAGGCACCCAGACGGACAAATGATATACAGACGTGAAGACTAATGAGGCGTGACACAGCGAGATGTTGAGACGATGAGGTAGAATGAAGGAATGACAGAGCGAAAAATATGGCGAGAGGAGGGAGAGGGGAAGGGGGGGGGGCTGATGGGCTGCATCTATTGGCTAAAGAGGTAAACCCCATGTCAATCGAGAACGGTCACGGTGCATGGGATGTTACCGGACCTTGTCTGCTGGCCGCCAAATGTTGAGGCGACCCCCCTTGGGTCGAGGGAAAACCATCTTGTGGCCCAACCGCTAACAGCGTGGAACGACAAGCTCCACTTAATTTTTCTACCTGTTGGCCACGGGTGTAGGAATTATTCGATTCAGGGTGCTTTCAACAGTATCAACAACAACGGACAACAACAGCAACAACATCATCATTCTCACGTCCGTGGAATCCTCGGGGAGCCGGATAAATCCGTCAGCATTCATCGCCAGCAAGCCTTGCCTCTCGACCGTGAAGATCCCGCCAGACTGACCCTGCCAAGCGGAACCAAGAACACGGACAACATCAACAACGACATTGCCATAACTGCTGCAACAACAAAGGCAACAGCATCAGGAGCTGCGACGGCATCGCTCTTGAGAGGTGGCTGTTTTCCGTCGTGAAAGGGTTTGTGGGTCCGACGTGGTCGCACTGCTTTTCACCTGTTCGACTGTTCGACTGTTGGACTGTTCGACATTTCAGTACACGCGGGAGATAAACATCGCGAGTAAATCATGCCGAAAGTCCTCCTTCCACTTGCCAGAATATCGTTACCCTGCGATCGCTCTGCGGAATCACCGTTGAACACCATCGCTCCGGCTGCAACAGTGTGAGTTTCTTGGAAAATTGGATGATGGCTTGTCTCGATATCAGAAACTATCGCGATGATCAGCTCGTTCGGGAACACAGGGGTATGAAGACAGAAACAAACCAAAGCTGATTGTTCCCTTCAATCTCAGCAGTACACCTTCAAGAGCCTTGTAGAATTGTTCCTACGATACCTGCCGAATTCAGCAGGCTTCGGTTTGGCGATCGAGCACAGCCTGAACGGCTACGGTACTGTATGTGTTTCAAACATCGGTTCCCTTGGCCCAGTTGAAGTGCGGAATATGGCAGCAGAGGGTGGATTGCCGCGTTTCGTGCGAGCGTCTGGTGTGTAGCAGTCGGCAGGGATTGAGTAGGACGGGGGGCAGTAGAGTAAGAAGAAGGAGGAGGACTAGCCAGTTTTTTGTCACCCCTCTGATGTATGCCGGAAGGATCTAAACAACAACTCAATACAAGCTGTGTCGCGAACGAAGGGCGAGAGAAATGAGAGAACATCACCGGGGGGGTTCGTCCACTCACAGATACCACCATATTCAATTGTATGCCCATTGTGTGCGCCGTGTCGGGGACGATCTATCATAATAGTACATCACACAGCTCTTCCGCCATACCCCCTTCCCGACGTGTCTTCTGCTGCATGAGTCTCTCACACACGCGCCAACACTGCTACGTAGAAACAGTATGGACGAGAGACACCCATGCTCTTCTTTTTTCCAAAATTACAACGAACACAACCAATAACAACAAACACAAGCATCCACACATGTTACCTCGAGAGTTTCCAGGCGCATCGTATTTACGGCGAACCTAGCCACCGCGCTCTCCCGTACTTGGAACCTGATACCCTTGAATCGAAGATTAGCATGGATTCGATGTAAGCTTGCTCGTCGATCACGATCGTCTGCGTTGTTGGGTTGTCGAGCGGTGAGACAAAAGTAGGAGGCACAGTAGAGGCAACATCGGCATGGGCTCGAGAGGGAGCAAAGGTAACCATTTGTGTTGTTGGTCGAGGTGGTGTTGTTGTTGATGATGTTGTCGGCGCCATCGTTGTCGTAGACTCTTTTATGGTACCTTGGAGTCTTCCCGGCAGTGTGTACATAGTAAGGAGATATCCACCAGCCGAGGGGTAACAACAGTATTGATGTCAACAGATCGAAAACGTCAGTTCATTTGCTGTGGGAATGACCAAGAACTCCCCGCCCAATCGAAGCTGTCGACGCAAAACCCCGTAAGGTCAACTCTAAGTTTCTCCTGCCTGTCAAAGTGGATGCGTACGTTCAGACTATTTGCGGTGGAACGGTGAAATTCCTAAACACACACCAGAGACACGCAAGGGAGGCAAATGTTGCGAAGATCCACAGATGAGGTATGCAAGTGAGCGATAGAGAGGGGCCGAGAGAGACACAGATGGCAACACAGCATGAGGTGTTTAAGAAAACCCTAGTCGATATCTGCCAAGGTATTACTCACTCGCGGCTCCTGACACATGAAGTTGCCTCTGACAGACACTATGCCGTAAAACGGGTTGCGGTCGACCCCCAGATGGTCGCACGAGACAAGGAGCAAGAATTGGACGCCGTCGACGGCAAGAAGCCCCTGGTTCGTCGCTGGAGCGGTGGTGATGTCGCCCCCTGTGGTAGCCAAGAACGGCTGGTCGGAGGGTGTCCAGTTGTCTCCCTGCGGGTCCTGGTCGGGTGTGGAGACGACCGTAACGCTGACGGCCGTGTAGCGGACGGCGGCTTCGAAGTTCAATTTGGCGCCCTCCTTCGCACGCACGAGAGAGTGCGTGTCCACCTGTCGGCATGGCGACACGGGAAACACGGGGGGGGGG